GAATGTCTTGATTTCAGTCGATATGTATTCAATTCAAAAGGTTTTGTATGTTATGACAAGACCTTCGATAACAGATATAATTTTTTGTCTTCATTTTTTTGAAATATTCATTTCACACATAAATCCGTGACTTTTAAGACAAACGTATGCATTGAATTGCAATCAATAAATTAATTATTAGTTTTAGATATTAATTAAAAAATAATATAGTTATAGAGATAATAATTCAACAGAAAGTTGTTTGGATTGAAATAAGAGTAATATTAAAGTTAAAAAATAAGAAAATTGTTGAAATATTTAACCGCAAAATATAACAAGTATTTTAAGTATGATTTCAATGAATTTTGTCGTGTATTTCAGATTTATATTATTGTTTTTTGGGGAACTCTTTGAGCAATTTATGACATTTTCAATGGTGTTAAAAACGTCATACATATCACTACAATATCTACATTAAACGTATATTAATAACTTTATTACGTTAAATATGAGGTCAATACGTATGGGCATAACCACCGGTAACTGCCGGTGCGCTAAAGTGTCGGACCAGATATATGCTGATAATGCGGAACTCAATTGAAATATTAAAATTATTTATGTTTTTATAAGTTTAGAAGTTATAGGGATGAGGAATAACCCAAACATATTATATACAGATAACTAATAAACAAATATTTTTGAAAATTGATTAAATGGACTGACAAAATATGAGTTCATTTAACAAACAAACAAATAAAAGTTTGAATATCAGGTGATTTTGAAATTTAAATTACGATTCAGTGAAAAGTGAACGCAAACTATTGAGAGCAATATTAGATAATCGCAATTAAAGTGACTGCACTTATACCTGTGCTATCAGTAAATTATTAAATAATACAAATTATTAAACAAGGTTCACACACCAATGCTAAAGAGAGAAAGGGGGGCCGAACAATCCTATAAACCACATTTTTTAATATATTAATTGTGGTTAAAAATTGACAATTATTTTGTAATGTTTTCAATTTTTTACACAAGAATTTAGATTTAATTAATTAATTTCTATTTACACAGAGTTATGATTTGAGTTAGATATGAATAACATATGCCGTAAATAGCAATTAAAGTGCTGTATTGTGTCTAAAATTAAATATCTCTTATATAACTGCTAAAACATACGTATGTTTCATAACACAGAATAATTTTAGACAATTGTTATGTAATTTAGTTTTTATTTAATATAGCTTTTTTAGTATAAAAATAAGTTCATAAAACAATATAATTTAATACAGTAATTACAAAACAATCCTTTATTTTTAAACTAAATTTTTAAACTAAACTTAACCCAAATTTCTAATTAAATTTTTATAAAAAACATTTAAATTTATTTCAAATATAGCACAAAATAAGTTTTTAAATGTAGTAAATGATTTATATTTATAAAATCTTGCAATGAAATCGTAATGAAAAACTAACTATAATTGTAAAATTTTTAATTTATTATACCGACTGATAAACTTAAACAAATTTCTGGTTTCTGGTGCCTATATCTAAACTTAAATAATAAAACCAATTTAATAATTCTATCTAAAATATGAAATCTGCTATATACTAAAACATAGTGTAACCAAATGTGTAAAAATAACATAGGGCATATTAATGCTATTATAAATGTGTAAAGTTTTGAAACGCCATACACCAGAATCTTCTACAGTATAATCTAATCAAGAATTTATTACATAATGTCTGAAATTATTTCAGTAAGATTTTAATGAATCTAAATTTTATTAAAGATATGTGTAAATGAAAGACAGAATACAATATTTTTTAAATTTATTTTAAAAAAATTGATGTTTCTATAATAACATTTTACTACTAATATGTATTTATAAGTTATAACATAAATTTTATAAAATAAAATATAAATACAAAAATTGCAATAATTCATTAAATTAATCTTCAAATGGAGGCAAACCATACAATTCGGGCTTAAAATCGAAAAGAGTTTTGATAATTTGTGTAGCATTTTGTTGAATGTATTGAAATCTGTAATCGGGAACCATAACGCACTGCATGCCAGCGCTGATCGCACCGTCAACACCCGTTTTGGTGTCTTCAAACACTAAACATTTATGGGATTCAGCCGATGATTTGAATCGTTTGGCGGCCACCAGATAAACATCAGGTGCCGGTTTGGGAGCGCTCACCTCCGGGTCGTCTCGCGTGAAGACTATGTGCTGAAAGTTGTCTCCAATTTTAAACAACTGTTGATATTTAAATATCTTAATGCGAAAGGACTCGAGTGTAGATCCGGTGGCAATTGCCATCGGGATGTTGTGTCGGCGCAAATGTGCTATCAGTCTCTCCGCTCCCGGCATAAGCGACACATTACTCATGGAATCTTCGTA